TTTTTTTTTTTTTTTTTTTTTTTTTCTCATAAATGTTTCAGATGGCACCTGGATCAGTTCGGAATTCCAAGAAATACATACCAAACAACTCTCGACAAAGTCTCCTAAGTCACTTGACCATGACAAATACTTTAGCAGATTCGATACCTCGCAGAAGTATCACGCGACAATTTGAGAAGACAAATGTGGGACCGGAGAAGGCAAATGAGGGATTGGAAACAGGTAAAGCAAATAATGATTCATCTATAGGAGGTGAAACTACTATAACGACTCACACGTTGGAGGGTGACAACACGACGCATGTCGTTTCATCAACTCAATCTCCTCAAACTCAACAGAATGAGAGCAGCTCTCTAGATACTCCTTCAACTGAAGGAACTCTGAATCCTCCATTACCTCAAGGTATACTGACCTTTGCTTACCCTTTTGTTTGTTTTGAAGTCTGGCTGATACTAGTTAATTAGATTAGTTAATTAGAGTGGTCTTGTTTCGTTGATGATGGGAAATAGATATTGCTATTCACCATGTGAGATATTTGAGATATTTGTACGGGGATTGTTAGATTTTATTGTATACATTATCTACATCCAAGTATCTAAAAAGCAGACAACTCCATTATTTATGATAAAAACTTTAAAAGTTGTACTGAAAGACTAATGCCTCTTAATACTTGTCAAAAAAAGAAAATATCAAGGTTGAGTTGCATCTAAACTATTACACTTATTGAGTGGTTAATTTGCAGCTTCAAGTTGCTCCAGTAAGAAAAAACGTGGACAAACCATGGGCAAGAGCATTATAAAGACATTTGAGGCTTCAGGGAAAAAAATGAAAATAACTGTGGACCCAATGATAGGAAGACCTAAAAATAGAGTGGAGTCAGCAAAGTTCTCGAGTCAAATTGGTGTAGTAACTCGAGATGTCCTTCCGGTGCCAAAAAAGTGGAAAGACGTGGATGAAAAAGGTCTTGAACCTGGCATTGACCATATAAAGGTAGGAATCAAGTACTCTTTAATTGTTTCATGTATGCTTTTTAATATTACTTCAAATAATTTGAGTTTCGAAATGTGTAGATCCACATGGATGTTAACTTGGAAGATACGGGAGTGAAACGATGCGTGATTGATAGACTGCAATCTAGTACACGCCAAAAACGCTATAGGCTCCATCAACATTACAAGAAATATTCATCCCTTGAAGAAGCTAAGAATAACAAGCCATCTTTTTGTGCGAATAAACAAAACTGGGAAGAATTGTGCGAGCATTTCGCCTCACCTAAATTCAAGGTAATATTCTTTTAATTCATCTTATATTTACATAACTAATTAGTTAATAATTTATATTTTTTGTTAGTAGAGTAATATCGATATTCTTGTTTTAACAACACCAAAGTTCGGTTAATGCTGTAAATCGACATCAAATGCGGGCTCCACATATTTCTGGCCGAACACCTTTTACTTTTCTTCAACACGAAATAGTAAGTTCTATTAAATGATCTTCTAAACTTGTAGTTTTGAACAATTATAGTAACAAGATATGTAAATTATGTGAAATAGAATATATCAGTAAAATAGTGCAGACATTTGTCCTCTTCTACAACATCAACGTATTAATACACAATAGCTGGTCATACTACTTGTTCAAAATTCTGTGCATATAAAATTGATGAATATATCCACTTGTATCAAATGTATCTTTATGTGATAATATAATAATAGATTAGTATCATGAGATCATTTTGTTCTGTTCAGGTTGTTCTTTTGGTTATAATTTTACTATGTTTCTTTGCGAATTTAGAATAGTTAACCAATTTAATCATTCAAATTTTTTTAGTCTCAGAAGGAGTTGAACGGAGGACCTTGTGATATGCTTGAACTCTATAAGCGTACGCATTATACAGACAAAGGTGGCTGGTCAAGTAAAGAAGCAGAAGAGAATTGGGTGTGTTGCAGGCACATTTTGCTAATATAGTCTTGCAAGTGAATTTGATTTAATTGTGCATTTATGTACTAGTTTTGTTCTATAGGACTTGATGATTGCACGGAGAGAAAAATATACAGAACAAGGTGTTGAGAAGAGCGAACAAGATATTCTTCTTGAGGTTCTTGGCCATGGATCTGGTTATATAAAAGGCTATGGTTACGGCCCAAGGCCTCCAAGTAGACGTTCATCATATGATCTGAATAGCCAGAAGGAGAAGGAGCTTCAAGATACGCATGAAAAGTTGCAAAAATCAGAATCTGAAGTGATTGAGCTTAAAGAACAAGTCAGTAATTTGAAAGACCAATTGAGTCACCAAGGTGCAGATATTGCAAAGATTATGGCTTCCATGGCTGCCAGCGGGACTAGTCTATGAGCTAAGAAAGCTTCATGTAAGTACTACGTTCTATTTTACTTACGTCAGAATCTACTTCATTCGACCACTTTTTTGCATTTTCTAAATATGTATGTACATTGATCTACGAACCTTTAAACAAGCAGGTGCCGATTTTCATCTATGACTGAATGGATTTAGCAACAAGACGAATCAGATTAGTTTTTCGAGGTGCACAAATAGAAGAAAGACAACCAGCTCGAAAGGGAATGCTTTGTTTCTTTCTCTAAGTTCTAAATCAGACTATTGTTTTTCGGGAATGCTTTGTTTCTTTAAGTTCTAAATCAGACTATTGTTTTTACATCCCTACCAGTTTCTATTTCAATGGATATTTTATTATATATGTTTTGTTAAGATATAATTTTATTATATTCAGAATGCTTCTATTTATATTGTGTTTGGAATATTATGAGATTGAAAATATTTGCTTTATGTTTTATGGTTATGTATTACTACATTTTATTTCAATTAAATGGGCTAAATATGATAGATGTGACAATTGATAATTATATTTAATGACGATAATGTTTGTCACAACATAAAGCCTTATCAAGACAAATCTAGTTGTCACTGTATTTGAGAAATAATGACAATTATCATCATTGTAACCATATCTAATAGGGACAAACTATAATTGGTCACTGAAAATATTCTTTTTTGATGACATTTAACTGTGATAAATTGGTTGTGAATTTGTCACCATCTCAATTTATTAGATGACGATATATTATTGTCACAAATTGTCTCTTCTTACGACAATTCAACTTGTCATTATAGTACAAGCTTTTAATGACAATGTTTTTTCTTTGTAATAAAAGAAGTTTAATTCCCGACAAAATAATTCGTCACCTTTATACCAATTGGAGACAAAAAAAAATTTGTCATTAATTCTAATTTTTTGTGACACTTTTTTTATCGTCATATACATTTTGGGCTAGTGATGACAAATATTTTGTGGTTATAAAACAAATCTTACGTGACGAATTATGTTATATATGACAATTTTTTTTGTAGAAATACCACAAATAAATCGTCATTAAAATATCATGAATCCGATCGTATAATTAAGTTCGTCGTTAAAACATAATGTTCATATGACAAAAATGTTAATTCGTCATTTACAAATTGAGTTTTCATGACGAATTGACCATTTAGATGACAAAAATTTAGTAATTATAGTGACAATATTATTGTCACAAAAAAGAACTACATATAATGACAATGCATAATTTCGTCACAACAAGCTAAGCATTTGGTGACAAGTCCGATATTTGTCATTTAGACCTATCATGACGCGGCTACGGTGACGATCTCTGTGACGATTAAATTTCGTCACAAAATCACTATTGTGACAAAAAATAAGGTTTATATGACGAATTTTATCGTCACGTTTTCCCATATTTCTTGTAGTGCGTTCAGGTGGCCCCGACAAAAATTATGGTCGCGCTGAAGGAGAAGAACCTGGGAGACAACGTTCATGTGCGACAGGTATATATGTTTATATCTTGTAATATATGTTTTAATTAATTTTTTGAAGTTAATTATGATAATTAGTAATTTTTTAATATCTAAAAGTTATTGTAATAATTAATAAATTTTATTATATTTACTAATGTATTATTATTATGATAGTTAATAATTTTTTTATGAAATAAATTAATTAATATACTTTTTTATTTATTAATATAATAATTTTTTTGTTTTAAATTATAATAATCATTATAATTAACGTTAATCGGTGACATGTATATAACTTTAGAGATAAGCTGCGGAAAGAGAGTTTCAAGGGTAGAGACGTTCCTTTCCAGCTTATGCATTTGGCCATGAGCAGCAAGTATACAGTTTTTGCATAATCCGATCCGAACATGAAAGCGTTGACGCATATATTCATGGCCTATCCTGCATCGGTCAATCAATTTCAGACATATCACTGGTATGTCGGCATAGATTCCACGTACAAAACCAAAAGGTATGTTACTTTACAAATACTTTATTAGTATGAATCTTAAATAGTGTGTTTGATTAAGTTAAGTTTTATGTGATTATATTTTTTGTTTTCTTGGTCTCATTTGCACAAGTACAAGATGCCGTTGGTCGAGATGATTGGGATGACGCCGTGCAACCAGAACTTCCTAATTGCGTATGTGCTCATCAGGGACAAGAAAGAAGCCAGTTACGACTGGGTTCTATATAAGTTGAGAGTTTTGATAGGCCAAGACGTATATCCTAATGTGGTGGTTGTCAGTGACAGAGAGTTGGGTTTAATCACTCTTATTCAAAGGCATTTTCACGAATCAGTCCACTTACTCTACATGTGGCACATCAACAAGGATGTGGAAGACAAAGCCCACAAACTCATTGGGAAGAGTAAAAAATTCTCGCAGATTTTCACGCACAGTACGTGGAAGGCGATTGCGGAGGCCAGTACATTCGATGACTACAACGATGCCGTTGTCGAGATGCGCACAAAATACTCGAAGTCTCCACGGCTGGTACAGTATGTGGAGAACACATGTTAGGGCACAAGGAGAAGTTTGTGAAAGCTTGGACCAGCCAGGTGACACATTTTGGAAACAGGCTGTATCGGACGAACAGGCTGTACAGGAGGAATAGGGTGGCTAGGACCCATAGGCTGTGCGTGGTCCTGATCATCCGAAGAGTTGTCCTCGTCATACTCCTCTAGACCCTGCTCCCTCTCGCCGTACGACTCATCAAGATACCCCTGCTGACCATAAGGTAATGGTGCGCGTGCGCGGGGTATCAACTTCCCTGCATGGCGGGAAAAAGCATATCCCCGCTGATCGTACGGTCCTGGTGCCGGAGGCATCGAACTGTCTTCCTGGCCAGGATAATAATATTCATGCACGTCGTACAGTATGACTCGGGGGAGTCGCGAACTGTCTGGCTGGCCCTCAAAATGATATCTATGCGGACCATCTCGTACTGATGCGGGGGGTCTCGAACTCTACCTAGCTTGAAGAATTTGTACCCTCCGATCCTCATCGATCATCGCCTATCTGTCTCGACGAACGGACACATTGACACCCCGACTTCTAGTGTGTCGGGTGCCAGAACCATCATAATAGTCATCGAACGCCTCGTCGTCGTCCCTGGCATAAGATTGTCCAGGTCTGCTAACACTCTGAATCAGAAATATAATTATTAAAATTTTTCCATATGTAATAATTATTGTAATAACTATTAAAATAGATTATAATTCATTTTTATTTTAATAATTATTGTTATTATAATTTATAATTGTTATTATAATTATTATAAGATTATTATTATTATTATTATAATTAATTCTAATGTATAATTATTATTATAAAATTATAATTATTATAATTAATTACAATAATTAAAATTATAAGAAATTATAATTAATTATAATTATTTTTCTTATAATTAATTATAATTATTATAATTAAAATTATAAGAAATTATAATTATTTTTATTATTATAATTAATTACAATTATTATAATTATTATTAATTATAATTATTAGTTTTATTATAATTATAATTCTTATTATTAATATTTTTATAATTTATAATTGATTACAATTTATTCAACTTATTATTATTATAATTTATAATTGTTATTATAATTATTATAATTATTTCTAATTTATAATTATTATAATTATTGACCAGTCTACAAATCATAATGGGATTTTCTTGCCTCGAGACCTTTCTCTCTCTCTCTCTCTCCACAGTTATGATTTCTAACCTCTCCTGAATGTTGACCATACACGTTATTTTTTAGAAAAATTGTATGGTCAAGATATACAAGAAATTGAAAAATTATGAATGTTCATGAAATCATATTACATTTTAGCAAGAAAATATTATAGGACTGGTTGGGATGANGGTGGATAGTAAATGAGTTTCTACAATGATAAATTATACCTTTTCATCATTTTTTTTTATTGTGGTAATCGTGATAGTTGTCGTCGGCCTCACTTAGATAGAATGACAGTGTAATAAAAAAATAATTTCCAACTCATATATCATCTACCAACATAGTTTTTAAACCCGGCCCGGTGATCGACCCGGGCAGGTCCTCGGGTCACCGGATCACCGGTTCAACCGTCGGGTCACCGGGTCAATTGATGAACCGGATAATTAATTTTAAAATTTTTAAAATTATATAAATAGTATTTTTGTTATATAAATATACATAAAAGTAACAAATTAAATGTTTTGTGTATAAAATTTGTATATTAAAGTGTTAATAATATGTATCTCATGATAAATATTTACCATAAAAACATATATACATAGTTTTATTTTTAAAAAATAAAAAAAATAAAAAAATATATAAAAAATATATACGGACCGGGTCAACCAGGTTGACCCGGCCGGGTCAATGCCCCGGGTCGACCGGGTCTCGGCCGGATCGGCCGGGTTTTGACCGTGTCCTTGGTTGTCCGGTCCAAATACTCCATCCGGACCGGTTCCAGCTCCGGGTCGACCCGCCGGGCCGGTCCGGGTTACAAAACAGTGTCTATCAATAAAAACTAGTGTTTCTAAACGCATATAGTGTAATGCGTCGCGTTATGACCTTTATGCTGTGTAGCGTAAATAGCGTTGCGTGTTGCGTAAGCTATTTGGGTAAAATTGTTTTTTTATATAGAAATATTACAATATATTTGCATATAATACAACTGGATGGTTGATTACAAAATTTATCATAATATTTGAATGACTTCAAAAGTAACATCTAAGAATTATTTTTCTCATAAATGTTTAATGTAAATATCATAATATAAATATTTAACTAAAAAATCGAATATACTGAAAAGTAAAAACAAACAACAAAAATATAATGAGGTAAGTGATAGTATAATTTAAGTATATGCATTTTAATTATTATTATTTTTTTATTTAACTACAACTTAATTCTAACCATTAGATATGAATTTTTTATTATTTATTTAAATTTCAAATATCGAAAAATAAAATGATATAACAAAAATGGACCGATAAATATTGCACTATTGAACTTAGAACGTTGCATTTTCAAACTTTTAATTTGAAATCATTATCAAAATTTTTAGTTCTTAGTTGTCATTTGTAAATATGACTCTGATCCCTAAAAAATACGAGTTTTTGAATATTTTGTTGTTCAAATGTCGTTGCAGAAATATTGCGGAATGTAGCGTACAATAGCGTAAAATAACGTAAAAAACGTGTCATTTTAACATTTCGCGTAAGTTTTTCGGGAAAAACGCTAAATATATAAGGTTACGTCGCGTTTTTTTGGAAAAGAAGCTNCTATTTAAAACAATGATAAAAACATAGACTATCCATCTATTTCGTTCTTATTCCTCCTTGCCACTCACATAATCACATTATCAATAAAATCAAGAAATTTTTAATTATTATACATTTATCTATAAATTTTACTACCTATCCAATCATATATTCATACTATCATTTATCATTGTACTATTTTCATACCACATAAAAACTATTTAATATTTACATTGCACCATATTTATACTGCTCCTAGCTGCTCTTCAACGCCAATTTAATGCAGGAATATATATTAGATGGGTGATTTTAATCTATTACAATTGCAAGATATTTTATCATTCGATAAATCGACATTCATTTTTATACGTGTGTGTTGATCCAACGGTAAAAAATTTGTTGATTGCAGTGTATTCACCAATTAGGTCGGACGAACCAATCAAATGCTAATGGATTTTGCACTTGTTGCTCGAATTACAAGTTATCATTTGTTGAATCTATTTATTCACCATCGAACAACTAATATTTGCTCGACGACTTTATTTTCTTAAGACAAATGTTGTTGTTGGACCGCTTAATCGTTGAACAATCGTACTTTCGAACAATAAAGTGTAATCTAATAGCATTGAATATTATCTTTTTGTTTATGTTGTAGAAATTTTACGTATAAATTTTGAGTTGAAAGTACATTTTTTTATTGAAAAATATCACAAAGAAAACCAGTTGTTTTCTTAAACTCATGATTAATAACTTACTAGTCTCTGGAATGCTGGCCTATCATCTAAGTTTGAAAGCTTTGAAAAAAAGCAAAATTACTTGAAGAATAGTATTTACATGTAAATAATAGACTACTTGAAAAAAACAAAAAGGTTAACACTATTAATTTCTCATTTGTTGTATTCGAATTATCCCACATTATCATTTTTTGCTTTGACCACATGATACTTGCTAGTTGCGTAATTTTGCTTTGACAAGTATTTTCCCAAAATGGTGACATCATCACTGACTGATGGGCAAAACGGACCATCCAATTTTTTTTTTTTCTTTTTTTTTTTCCGAACAATATAACTTTTATAGATAGAACATAGAACACAAAAGTACAACTAAAAATCAGCACAACTGAATAAAGCAGCTAAAGAGCCGAATCTAATGAAAAGTCATATTCAAAGATCATCTAAAACTTATACTAGAACGAAACTGAAAAACACACCCACCAACTAACACCTACAAACATACTCAAACATTGGAGAAAAAGTCTTCCCACGAGAAAATAAACGCTCCCAAACGAAAAAATAACACAAACAAAGAAGTTTAACATACAACGCACAAACACAAAACACACAATAGCTAGACTAAAACTCTTCCTTCAACCAACAAGCCACTATGAACAAAACACGACTGCGACACTCACGGCCAACCACCAATGCAGACCGAGCCACGGCCCAAGCTACAGATTCAAAAACTGCCGAAAGCGCCTAATTGGAGGCACATGTGACAGAAAAAGATGTTTAGTACTTCTGTTATAAATAAATAATCACTTTTATATGTAAATTCAAACCTTTTTTTTTTGGTAAAGAAATTCAAACCTTTTTTAGTTTAACTATAACTTAATGTGTTTCATAATTTTAATGTGTAAGTGCTTCTTGTCGTAATTTCATGGTGCTTGTTCTCGTAATTTCATTGTGCTTGTCCTGTCACTACAACAAAATAATCAAATTCCAACGGAAAGTTCCAATACAAATATATTTTAGTGTAATTCCAACAGAAATTCCAACAAAAATATTCCGTTGGAATGAGTTTTCCATTGAAATTTCTGTTGGATTTTGAAGATTCCAACGGTAGATTTTTCAACGGAGGTGGAAATAAAAATTCCAACAAAAATTCCTATGGTAAAAAACCGTCGGAATCATCAAATTCCATCTAAAATTTCAATGGAAAATTCATCCCAATGGAATATTTTCGTTGGAATTTTCCGATGTAATGATTCCAACGGAAATTATACCATTGGAATATATTATCGTAGAATTTCCCGCTGGAATATAACATTTTTTTTGCAGTGTATGTGTCAATGTGCAAAGGCTTCCTCCATTTCCTCATTGTATCATCATATGATTCTGACATAATATGCTATAGATATTTGAAAGAAAAAAATTGCATAGAGAAATCAATTGTCCAAAGAAAAGAAAAAAGGAAAAAAAAAAAGAACAACAATAGGTGGACAACTCCAAATTTCCAAAAACAAAAGTCACCCTAACAAATGGCAATTCTATCCTTACAATCAACAGCCCCCAAATCTTGGCTTAATTCTTCAAACCAGAAAACCCAAAATTCAAAAATAACAATAACCCAACATACAAGCAAGACCCCCTTATGACATAAACACAAGCAACATGTATGTACACAAGAAAAATCATAAGCCAGTTAAGAACGAAGGGTCTAAGAAATTTAGGTTCAAAGGCTCGACACAATCCTCGATACAAGCTTTTGACCAACTTTCATGTGTTGGCTGACTGTGAAGCCAATTTTGGATGGTTATGTTCTCCTTCATAAGTGACGATAAGCATCGAGGGCTCCTCTAAGCACCTCTCGACATGCTTCCTCGCAGGGCAGCCTCTCATGCTACTACATTTATAATATCCTCTGCACAAATCAAATTCACGAGAAAAAAATCAATTCATGGAGCTAAACAAAGATACGGTAGAAAAAAGGGCAGTGCAGTTTTGTATACAAATTGAACATAGTAACCTCAGCTGTTTGAAAGGAATAAATCACAAATTCAATCCCAACAGTGAAGGAAAGGATAAGAGTATTAATATAACTTCTATTTCTGAGAAGGTAACGGCTCCGTAGAATCTCAAATATGTTTCGGCAAACATATGGAAAAGGTGACTATTTGCTTTATGATTCTAGTGATATTTGAATTCCATTTGTTGCTTCTAAATTTGCAAAGTTTAATTGAACTTTTATCATTATGCTACTCGATTCATTTTTACCCACAAGTTTCAAAACATACTTTATTACATGACTTGTTTACAGACACAAGCGATTGGCTAAATTTCCCACCACTTCTTGCTTCTACTGTGGTAAATCACTTCAATTAAATTAGAAATTCTTACACACAACAAGAAAATCAGTTGAAAAGCGGAAAAACATCAATCCATACCTCGGATGAGGTGAACCTTTGATCGGTTTCTGACCATATTTTCTCCACGAGTACTCGTCTGGTGGTATATCAGCTAACTTGTTACTTATTGCAGGCACTTTGATAGACCTCTTCACTCTATGCTTCCTGCGCACAGCAAATACACAACAAATATATATATATAAAAGAAAAAAAAAACAGAGTCAATGCCAATAACACTAATCATTTATGATTCACCCTATCATTCTACACACACAGGCACAAAAAAGCACCAACCTTTTCTTCGAACAATGGCATTTACCGTTGCCCCCACACTTGACACTACACCTCCTCTTGTGATGGAACGAGCCGTGATCCACCGAGCGTGCGGGTCCCACCAGACGAAACCCGTTACTGTCGAAATTCGCCACGCTCCCTTCCATACTCAACGACGAGATGAACGACCTGGCGGATGACATGGCGGGCGTGGTGCAGGTGGACCCGTCAAAATTGAAGCTAACCCCCCCATTGCTACTGCTTTGCCTGTAGAAATGATGATAGCTCGAACGAGTCGATTTCTGCTGGGAAAGGTGGAGGTCCAGAGAAGGGGTTTTCAGAGAGAGGTCATTGTTGATCTTAATGAGACTGAGGGGGTTCGGGATTAGGTGGTGATATTCGGTTTTGCTGATCGGGTTTTCGAGAAAGATGCTTTGGGGAAAAGGGGTTTGGATTTTCTTGCTTTTTCTGACTCGGGCATGGCCACAGGTGGAGCCGAGAAGGGAGATGACTCGTCTGAACTTCTGAACGGCTTGGGCCGTTTGGTCAGATAGGGTTCTGAGCTGGTTTTGATCTTGCGGTTTGGATAGAATGGAGATTACGCGGTGGCAGCTCTCGATGGCGGACAAATTTGCCGTTTCGACTTCCTCCATTGGGTTTTTGGGATAGATTCAATCTCCTTCAGAGCAAGAAAAAGGGTAATGTTACAGATGGAAAACCCTAAATTCCCAACTTTCAGCAGTACATGGTAGCAAATCCAAGTATACTCTAGTTTGATGGATCTTCAACTATCGAAAGAAGGAAAGAGCTCAAAATCGAAACACAGAAAAATACCACTTTTGGCAAGAAGCATTCCGATAAAAAAATAAAACAACAAAAAGACACGAGCTTGGCTACAATAATTAATCGATATTCAAAATCAAACGAAGCTCAGCAATAGAAGAAAAGAGCAAATTGGGGGAAAAAAGGAGATTCATTTCTGGAGCCCATTTGAAATCAAAACCAGACTCAAGCTACAACCAAACCTAGAGCTGTAGAGGACACAGAGCAGAAGCTTCGAGCTGAGCAAGAACAAAAATTAAGCGAATGAAATAAGAAACTCAGAAATAAAGGGACCTTTTAGTGGATACCTTTGGAGGAAAATGGCGTCGATTGAAACCCTAGATTCTTGCAATCACCATTGCTGTGTGCTCATCAGAGAATAAAAATGAAAATGGATTGAATCTTGAAAGGTGTGAAAGATAATACTTTGCTTTGCCGTTGCTTTCTGCAGGGAAATCGACACAGCCCCACCATATTTTTTCTCCATTTTTTTTTTTCGAACTACAGATTTGCAATACTTCGATTATCTATAATCGCACAACAAATTAATTACCATTGTTGTAGTACTGTGAAAAAACAGTAATGAATTGCCGTATTTGTTCAAGTGATAGGAATAGCGTAGCATTTATTAAAAATAAAACCTGGGCAGGGGATGCTCAGAAGTGAAGCTGCCGTCTCTGTGCTGCAGATTTCAAAGTGGGATCCACCTTGGACTTTTGTTTATTTCATTTTTATTTTGAATTTTATTGTTTAAAAATTATTTTGTTTTAAGGGCTCCAAAGTCCAAAGCAAATGAGCCGAGTCGAACATTAGTCTTATCGAGCAGAATATTTTTTTTAGCTGCTCGAACTCGAGCTTGAGCTTGATTTATGAGGCTCAAGCTTGACTCGATAAAAAGTACAATCATTCGAGCTCGACTCGAAATCAAAATACTTGAGTTCGGCTCGAAAATTTTTTAAGTGGAAAAATAAAATTACCATTAAGCACATATTTTATACTATTGTAATACATAAGGGACATTTTAGTAATTCAACATATATCTTGAGTCGCTCGAAGTAGAAAAATAAAATTACCATTAAGCACACATTTTATACTAATGTAATACATAAGGGATATTTTAGTAATTCAACATATATCTTGAGTCGCTCGACAATGCAAAATATGAGCTCGAGCTCGAGTTGAACTTTGACTCGCTCGGTTCGGTTACAACCCTAGTTTTGCCCTATGGGTTTTTTGGCAAGGTATTTAAATTTAGAGTACAAGATTCTTTTTCAATATTATTGTACGTATTTTTTTGTAAAATACACAACAATTTGTATTAAGCACTTAACAATTTCAAATACTTTCCAGCAAATTGAAAGAAAATAGCTTATAAACAGATGAAAAACTTTTCAAAATATTACAAAATAAAAAAATTTATTATCAATGTTTATACTGTGTTCAATATTAGCAATTTACTTTTGAACAAAATAATTTTTCCCTACCTCGAATTTTCTAAACTATAATTTTGTGTTTTTCGTTTTCCCATTGAAATTAAAACTTTCACCCTATCCCTATACTTAGGTCATCTCCGGCCCTTATCTCTACTCTAGGGCGAACTTTATTCTATTATAGAGTAGGATTGAACATTCATCTCCAACCCTTGTCTCTACATTTTACTCTACATCAAATATATAATTTTTTTATTTATTTTTTATTTCAAATAAATTGGTATATATGTATATTTAATCTTATATAAAATATTAATTACTCAAATAATAAAAATGTTTTATTTATTTATTTTTATTTCAGATGAATTCGTATATTTAATTTTATAAAAAATGTTTATTACTCAAATAATAAAATATATTTTATTTATGTTTCAGTCATTTTTAATCATGTTGTTTTCATTTGTGTTCTATGATTTATGTGTATTGTAAACATTTAATTTTGATGAAATAAACTTGTTTGAATGTGTTAAATATTATTCATATGGTATCATTATAATATTAAAAAATTACAACATAAAATTATATTACATCAATAAATAAAAAACAAAACATTATTTAGCATAAAAATACATTGCACAAATTATTTAGGATAAAAAATACATTTACTAATACACATTATACAAAAAAATACCAATAATAATACACAAAAAAAACAAAAAAATAAATGTAGCGTTACCTACAGTGTTGCGCCACATATGGCACAACACTGTTCATTCCTCTTATCTGGCGCAGGATTCTGGCGCGGCATTGGAGGAGTTTTTCTCGCTACTCCAGTGCAAAACTCCTCATCTGGTGCAGAGCTGGAGGTGGTTTTAATGTCGTAAAGTGGCCAACCGTAACTTGTTAGCAAAAAAAACCATAAAAAGATTAATTAGTTGATAGCGTAATAATAATTGATTTGAATGGCGAGCATAATAACAACTAGTATTCAACTCTGTGCATTTGCACAGATGTAAATAAAATTAAATATTATAAGTTATATTTATATATATAATATAAAAATTATAAGTTATATAATTGAATTATATTTCAAACATATAGTATTATAAGTTATATTTATGTATATAATATTACAATTATAAATTCTATAATAGTATTATATTTTAAAATTTGATCATTGGTTAAAATAAATAGTACACACGATTTGATTGTATACGAATCACTATATTGATTGCATAAAACGTAATAAATATATACTTTTTATAATTTTGAGTGATCATGACCAATTAATTAGCTGAAAAATATTATATTTATTATAACAATTGCTTATATGATTTTAAGAAATTTTACTATAACATAAAAAAAATTAATTTATTAATAAACAACATCTTCATCATATACAAAAATATTGATTCTAGTGTAAAATATAATTTTATGTAACTTTCATATATTATTTAGTATAAAATATAATTACTAATTTTAATATTAACTATTATATTATTCAATAAAAAATATAATTATTCATCAATTGACATAAAATATAATAGTTTTTGTCATAATTAACCCAAAAAAATATAATGAAATATTTTTTATTAAAGAGATTGGGTGTATTAATGCCACGTAAATAAAATTTATTAGGTTCTATTTATTAGGTTTTATTAATGATTTGCCACATAGGTAAAATTTATTAGGTTTTATTTATTAGGTAAAATTTATTGCTTAGCTAGCAATTATATAGATATAGACTAGTTTTTGTCCCGTGCATTTGCACGGAAAACTTTATGATACATGAAAAAATAATAAAAATTATAAACAATAGTAAAAGTCATAACAAATTCATTGAAAAAAATTAAGAAAAAAAATATAAATATTCTTAAACACTTCTTTATAAAACAACGTCGTGGTTTTTCTATCGTCAAAATCTCCCTCAGCTCAAATCAAAATCTTCAAACCCCACTGACTCGTAACTCTAAAAAGCGCCACGTATAATTGTTCATGACTAAATGCAGAGCTCTTCAGTAGTAAGCCGATGTGCGACAGAGACTGTCTTTGACTCTTATTGATCATGTCATAGCATAGGAAACACTTCTTTATATTGTTTGTCCTCGACTCTTATTGATTGATAGAGATTGTCCTTGCTTCTTAATAAAAAAATACCATCTAAATATAAATGAGTAAATATAATATTAATTTTATAAACAAAAAATTTAAAGTAATTGATAATGAGTATAGAATTACCTTCGCGGATTCAAGTTATTTCAACGATGTTCTTTTTATATATCTAAGATTTAATTTTTTTTCTGATTTATATGAATATAAGCACATTTGACTAATTTTTATAAAATTTATTGAAAAAAGTTACTATTTTTTTGAATAACTGATAAGATATTAAGATAATACTGTACTTAACATAAATGTGGGATTAATTAAAATAATTTTTTTTTAATTTAGTCATTAACTAATTAAATTTAACTATAAAAAACCTTCTTAAATGTGAGATTAATGAGTAATTAATTAAAAAAAAATGTAACTCCTTTTGGAGGGAAAGTGAAAATATTTTTATTAAATGTATTATTAAATGGGATTAGCTAGCAATTATATATATATAGATGTGTGTTATGTAAATAGTGGAAAGATTATATTGTTGTTCTGTTTTATTAATTCTATCAACTCATAAACACTATTATATTGACATTTTTCATAATGTAGCGTTTTATGTAAAAAGAAAAAATCAAATGAGCTTTAAATCTTAAATTAATTAGTAAATTTGATAGGCAAAACATTCAAATGAAGTTCAATATGTTATTTTTATATCAATTTGCTAACATCAAAAGGAGATCTAAATCTCATGTTAGACAGATCTAATTGAACAACCATATTTTGTTTAATGATATAAAATATCTTATTTTAATATTAATGTAAATAAAGTATGATATAATATAAAAATCATTTTTATTATAAAATAAAAAATCACACCAAATGTTAGAGTATTAAATATCGTATAAAAAAATATGGTAATCACTTGCATAAGAAACAACCTAAATGCTTGTTTAGAGATTTTTTTATTGATTTTATGGTTAACCGTGTTTAATTTTAAAAAAATTAGTTGAGTTAGATTTTAGTGAGATTTTAAATTTACATTATAATAATTTTTTTAAAATAATTAAAGTTGATTTGATGTAAAAGTATGAAAAAAATTATTAAAAGTGACGAATAATTAAAATTATATAAGTGAATGAATAGTGAATTAAAAATTATTGTGATGTGTAAGAATGATTGATTGATATTATTTAATTATATTGATAAAATTAAGAATAGTTGAGTTGAGTTAAAATTGAGTTAAATTTGAATTGTAATTCAATTTATTGAAAAAAAAAAATTATAAACAAGCACTAAACAAGATTAAATAATTTATCACTTCATCCTACTTTTGGACTGATTACTTCAGCATGCTAACTCATAACACAAATTAATTACATAAAGAAAAAAGGATTAGGAGATAGGCTTTTGCTTAAAGTCAAATAAATAGTGGAGAGACCATTGAATTTTGGTTATCCAATCTGATCCCATATGATATCACGCACCTGCGCCATTATCAGATAAATAGCTAATAATAATCACTTTCTAAATGCATGATTATGTTGATAACAAAGCATTTGACTATAGACTATAATCCCGTGCATCGTCACATGAATATTCGTAATTTTCCTCTTATTTCTAGTTGAACTATGACTTTGCATGATCAACTTTTTAATTATCTTCATCAAAATAAAATAACAATAAAGAGTTGACTAATTTGGACTTTGTTTGCCATGTGTTATTGAAAAAGTGAATTAGGAACATGGGAACGTGATTTCAGTTTGTAATCATGCGTGCATGCGGTGAGATTTATGATTCGAGATGTCCTAATTTTGTGTATCTTAATCATGATATGATTAGGATTAGGATTTGTTAAATAACTATTTAATTTGTTGGTTTACATAGACTTTTTTTATACATGTAATATAAGGCTATGGTTTACATGTTTTTTTTTTTTTTACATANTTTTTTTATACATGTAATAACTTTTTCATAGAATTTAACTGTTTATATAGACTTTTTTTAATTTGTGTATCTAACTCAGTATAACGATCATTATTATTTTTTGAATACACATATATCAATTATTAAAAATTCTACATTTTTTGTTACATTTTGGGGCTACCTAACTCAAACATCCCATGATTTTTTGGGAAGCCAAACGAGACCACTTTTCATGAAGTTTTTTAAATTGTTAGAATCAACACATATTAATTACTTGAGTGCGTACAATCAGATTATTAAAAAAGGCATATAGGATCGAATTTTCCACCAAAATACCAATCCTGCGAATAGGGACTAATGCTTACATTTTCTAACAATTTTTTTTTTTATGTAATAAATAAGAATTATTTTATTAAATAATGAAAGATTTATTTTTGGCAACAATTTCAAAAATAATATATTGGAGATATGTTCTAGCAAGCCAAAGGATTTAAAGGGAAAATCTATATTTATTTACGTCTATATATGTTTCAGTTTTTGTAAATATTATGTATATTTTGGAAAGATTTGCATAATCTTATTAAGTTATGTTTTTGTAGAAAATTGGACTCTGCGTGGATGTGCATGAAGAGAAAATCTTTGGAGAGAGAGAACAAGATAATATTCACTTACTATGTTTCAACCTTAATAATATGAAAGGAAATCGAAAAGAGTTGGAAAAGACTTCACGTCTAAGGAGATTATAAATAACCTACTTGAAGTTCAATCGAAGACTGTTGAGATTATTATCATTTGCATAGCATTCAAGCTTCAATTGAGAGTTCAAGTGCTTTGTGTTTCATTTTGTTTCGTTGTTAAATAATTCGATGTTCTTACGCCATCGAAGAATTGAAGTTGTTTCTGTTTAGATTTTTATTATTTATTTACACACTTTGTTATTAGTACTTAGAGATTAAGTACTTGGTTTGCTCGAGGGATTCGAGTGTGTAAAGTCCACGGGACATGACCAGAGAAGTAGTTGGTAGAACTGAGTGTAGGTGTGGCTAGGCTAGAATGGAGTTCTAGATTTGCAAGTCCAAATTATACACGTGTGCACAATTGATTTATCAATGAAAGGTCTTTAAGAGGTACTGAAATGCTCCCCGAAGAGTTCATATCTCTTGCTTCGTGCTTCCGCTATTTCAACATATTCTGGTGTTGCAACATATATAAATTGAAATTTATAAGCTTCCGTGTTCTAACACAGTTGAACGCTCTCTATGGGTAATACCTACATCTCAAATAAAAAGTTGGGTATTTGGGGGAGTCTATTTAGACTACAAATNACTTGTTTGTGATTTTTAAGTCATGATATTAATGTCAATAGAAATTTATTTATTTTATTAAAGACAATGAGAACCAGTTATCAAGAAGATTGACCTAACATTTCTTTTCCTCACTGGTGAAAATAATTAGAATTTTAGAAAAATCGTTCTGTAGTAATAAAACATATATATAATCTAGAATCACAACATTAGAAAAATGTCCATTTCAGTCTGAAAAAAGTGTATTGATAGATATGTCTGGAAAGTATTCCTTAGAAACATGTTCGTTGGTAATTCACTATAAGAAAAAAGATTTAAAAATCTATTGATATTATATTGATACAAGTTTGTTGATAATATGTTGGAAAAATTGTCAATTAATACTATAATCCATTGTGACTATATTGGTAACTGTACGTTGGCAATTATTCTGTTGCCAATTTCCTTCAACTTTATTCTATCATACACCACCTTTCTTAATTTTTAAAGGAAGAAAAAGGAATAACTACTAAATGAATTTAAGTCAAGATAATTTTGGGAACTTTATAGTTGTAGAAAGAGGGAGAAGCGAGAGAATATAACCTACTTTTTAGGCAACACATTTTGCCTTTTGCATGCTAAAAAAACATATGAATGCAAATCAGTTCATTGGGATTCGTTTTAAAGATTGATATATTACTGCTTTATTAGAGATAAGATCATTATGAAAATAAGATCATTACGAAAACTGCTAATTATGTAACAATACATAGATAAACTGATGAGTAATTATAGTGCAGATAACATATAAGCCTGTAACCCTGTTGAACTGAAAAAGTTGAAAAAGGACTATCTGACTTTACCTAATATACGGGAAAATTTCAAAATTAGTCCCACAGATATAGGGGTGACAATTTTGGTCCCGACGGAATGCACAAAATATGAATAGTCCCACAGCTTTTAAAAAATGATCAAAAGTAGGACTTTTTCGCCGGATTTACTATTTCCGGCCCGGAGCGCCACGTGGCGCACACGTGGCTTATTTTTTACACGCTGGCATCCGACGTAGATAGAAAAAAAATTCAAAACTAGTCCCACAAGTATAGAGGAGTGACATTTTTGGTCCCGATGGAATGCAGAAAATTCAAAACTAGTCCCACAACTTGTAAAAAAATATGAACACGTAGGATGCCACGTGGCGTTTCGGGCCGGAAATAGTAAATCCGGCGAAAAAGTCCTACTTTTGATCATTTTTTAAAAGATGTGGGACTATTCATATTTTCTGCATTCTGTCGGGACCAAAATTGTCACCCCCCTATACCTGTGGGACTAATTTTGAAATTTTCCCCCTAATATACTGTTCTTGTTATGGGGATTTCATAATTAATGTTGAGAGAACTACATTATTTCCAGACAATTTTATGAGGTTTTAGTCATTTATCCGTTGTCTTTTGTATCTCATATTAGAATTAAAGTAGGTCAAGATCAGGAAAAGTTATATATCAATATACTGCTTGCATCAATATATGCAATGATGATTTGATAAATTAATTTACAAAATAAAAAATTATATATTAACCATCAAATTCAAAAACATAATTGAAAATAATTTATCAAGCAATATCTACATATTAAAATAACTACTAGCTATCAACCATAACCCAAGTTAACATTCAGCTGAATCTGCTAAACCAATCTGATCCACCTAGGTGAAAGAAAATTAGTTCAATTTATAAGCTTAATTAAGATTTAAGAAGGATGTATTTTTTTGAACTTTGTATAACATTTTAAGACTTTTTAAAATTTTAGAGCTTTTGAGATTTTTTTTATTTCACATACTCTTTGAAAATCTTAAGTTTACAGATAGAATTTGAAATATGATTTTGTATATGTAATATTTTGTCATCGAGATTTTAACTAGTTGTAAAATTTTCAAACAAATATAAGTGGTATAAATAAATTGAATATTTGATAACAAATTCTTTCAAAATATCAAATGAACACTTTGAAATTATTTATTTTTTTAATCTCAAAGTTAGAAATTTTATTTTTTTTAATAAATAATTCAAACAAATACATCAAAATTTTTAAAATCTAAAAAGTAAAAAATTGTAAAAGATAATTACTGTGGTCACTATGAGAGAGGTTAGAAAATGGGGGTTCAAATGTTAATTTCCACAAACATAAAACGACCGCGGACCGTCACAGTAGTGGGCGCCAAATCGAACCCCTCCACCGCCGGTCTCCGTCGACAAATTCGCCGTTTTGCCGTGGAAATACACTCAAAAGAAGGAAGCACACAAATCAAGAGAGCGAAAATGGAAGGTTCTCAGCCGCCGATATTTAGCGTTCGAATAGTTTCAATTGACTACTACATGGCCCCTCCTGTTCCGGGCCTTGGCATTTGTTACAGCTCTTTCCATGGTGAATTCTCTAGTACACAGTTTTTTTTGCTCTTTATGGAAAGTTTTATGCGTCTGGATGCTATTTTCCGTTAACAAAGAAAAAAAAGAAAATTCTCTTTTGATTTTCGTGTTGAATTTTTGAGGGTTTTGAGGCTATATGAGAATTGGAATTGCTATGTCCAGGTGGGAAGGTGAATGAGGTTCCTGTTATAAGAATATATGGGTCAACGCCGGCTGGGCAGAAAACTTGTTTGCACGTACATAGAGTATGTTTTTGCTGCTCAAATGTTTGTTTGTTTGTTTGGGCTTTTTCCTGTTTCTTTGTCTTGTGCATAGATGAATCTGTATTCTGTATGCATGGACTTGAAATTTTACTGAAAGAATTTGAACATTGGGTTGTTTGTTTGTTTTTTACTTTTGTTGACATTTGGGTTTGAAGTGTAAAGAAAGTAAGTGATAGTTCCAAATGTAAATTTAGGCTTTTAAATAGTCCAGAGGTTATCTATTATTGATAACACATGCGTTTTCAATCTGCTCACGTATGAATTAATACTGGTGATGTTGATTCTCATAACAAAATTCTACTAAGAAACAAAACTGGCTGCAAATTTAAAGGTAAAGTTGTTCTATGATAAAGCCGACTAGAGAGTAGTTTGGTCCTCCGTTGATCACCTTGGAGATACTCTGATGTGTTGTTGGACAGAGCTCCAATATTCTCTGACCTCTTTGTATGATTGTATCTTGTTAATTAATTGAAGGTGGTGCTGTGATAGTTTTCTGGTGGCAATCCCAAATATTCAAAATATACACTCGCAACGCTTTTTAACGTAGCAGTTATTTATCGGCTCAGATAAGATAAATATCTACGGAATTTAATCCAAGAAAACAGAAGTTAATACTTAACAAAATCAAAATTGAAGACAAGACATTGTACTGTGTTGTTGCTGAGTATTTCTGTACCAGCTCCTTTCTTTTAAAGCCTAAGTTTACCCTAACTCAGCTGGCAGGTCAAATTTTAATAATTAAGATATATTGCCATACTTCCCCATCCATATGTAATATGTCTTCCAAGGTTTTCTCCACAAAGCTGTGGGATGAATTTTCAACAGTATGAATTCTCTGTACCTTGTTTCTTTAACTTTGTATGTTATATTATTAGCTTTGATGGGAGTTTGCATTTGTTTGGCCAAGCTTGATCTGCTTTGGTTATTTACAGGTTTTACCTTACCTTTACATACCCTGCTCTGATCTGGGCTCTATACAAAATGATGAAGGTACTTTTCCACGGACTGTTATATGTAGTATAGATCATCGTCCTTTTTATTTTTTTATTTTTTGTTTCTGTTATAACTGACCAAAGACACACACACACACAACAAGATCCCTTCTCATGATGACATGTTAATATACATGGAGAAATAACTGGTTGATGGAAATCATTTCTGTACTTCTTTTCTCATGATTTAGATTAGTTAAATATATTTACTTATGATTTGCCAAGTTGGGGAATGCTAATTTGTTTTGTAAGACATCTGGTTGTTAGCCAGAGACAGATCAGCCAGTTATAGTTGTGAATAAGCTTTATGATTCAGGCATCCAGGCATCAGGCAGCTAACGTTTGTTATGTATTTTGAAAGTTTAGTTTTTAGAACTCACTTTGGTTGTCATGAGGAAAGATGGGGCCTTACCAAACAACAAAAGTTTATTAATTCAAAATTATTTCTACATTTCAAGTTATCCATTATGGATAATTAACAACTGAAATAAAGATTTTGGTATCTTGGAGGTACTGGGTGCATCTCCAACCCATTCCTTTCACTACCTCAGTTGCCAATCCCATGTTCTCAGCCAAATTTGATTGTGCAAGCAGACTTTTGACCTTAGCCTTCATTTTCTTGTATTTCATGAGACATGTTTGTATAATCTTTTTGTATAAAAAAATGAACTAAACTTAGTTTGGGCTCATAGTTCAAACCTAATAATCTTGTTCCGTTTTTGTAACAGTTGATTCATGCAAAGGCTCTATTTCCCTTGCCCTTGAGAAGGCTTTGAAGGTATCATTGCTTAGATGTGGCCAATTTGTTTTGCTCATAGCCTGTCAATCTAGTGTAACATATATTGCGTTCTTGACATTCAACAGCTTAAAGGTAATGCTGGCTCAAAGCGTCAGCATGTGCACGGTTGTGATATTGTACAGGGAAAGAAGTTCTATGGATATCATCCTTCAGAGGAGTTGTTCGTGAAGATTTATTTGTATCCTTATGCTTGATTATTCTTATTTCAAGACCTGCTTAAGACAAGTCGATAATTAATACTTCAATCAATTAATTAGCACGAAAATGGTGAAGCTGAAATGAACCTTGTTTCCGGCTTGTGGCTCTAGAAATCCCAGTTGCTGAATATTAGCTAGTCTGTGTTTCTGACAAGCAACATTATGGATATCATCATCATCATTGTTATTTTGGCTTAAAGCGCTTGAATTTTAATACTGCAGTTATTGGGATAGGCGTCCTCATTCAATTTATACAGTGTTTTCTTATTGTGTTTAGAAATTATCTAGTTTGCTGCAGGAGGGATTCAGTAATCAAGTTTTGTGTATTCCGTTTCTTTGACTGATTAACTTGGTGGTCACGGAAATAGATGCTACGAATGCTTAAGATTTATTCTGATGGAACCTCTGAATGCTACCGCATGATTTGTGTGGATAGAGTACACTCGTAGTAGTAGCATAGGACCATAATAGCTGGCTACACCGGTCCAACTGAAAAATTGGTTGCAAGTCCCAGTTCAGTTGGATGTAACAGTCAAAAATCATGTTATACTGGCAAAATATTTGTCTAAATTGTGCACAAATGAAATCATACAAAATAAAGGCTGCTGCTTCGTGTTTCACATTTGCATATCCTTATTTGTGTACATTTCCTGATATTAATGCAACTTTGGATTATTCTCTCTCTCTCTCTCCACCAGTATTGAAAGTTTCCATGATAGACCTTGACAGACAATCAGCTATAATCCACACGATGTTTCTCGAGCTGCAGATCTTCTTCTGGTAACATGTTCGAGCTTCTTAATTGAATTAGTGTATTAACTAGTTATTTTGTTGTTTGACAAACTATTTTGTTTTAAGTTACCAAGTTTGATTAATAAGTTTATTTTAAAGTTGCAGTACTTCAAATGAAATGTTAGTTGGACTATACAAAGTTTGGTTCATAGGAAATTCTCTCTCTTTCCCTACCTCTCTGTCTCTCAGTAGTCGTATATATATTTCTCCATGATACTTGAGTGGGTGACATCTCTTCAAACAAATATTTTTAGATATCTTACAATATTATTTGCTGCCCCAACTTGCTTGGGACTAAAAGGCTATGTTGTTGTTGTTGTTGTACAATATTATTTGCTGCAGATCCCAGTTTATTTTTTTATTTCAAAACCTGTCATTGGTTATCAGCTGCATCTGCTTCCTTAAATCCATGCTCGGAGGTTAGCTTACCATTTTTTTATGCTCTGCTTTTTGTGCAGACAGGTGCAGTATTGGAAAAGACATTGCAGCCATATGAATCACACATTCCTTTTCTTCTTCAGTTCTTGGTATGTCTGTCGTTGAATATGTAAGCTATACTGCTCTCTAGCCTATCTTGTTGTCAGCATTTGTATATACAGCCTTTGCATGCGAAATAACTTATCATCACTATCATCATTTTTGCTCAAAAGCTGTCGTATGCTAATTGCCCTTTGTCTTTTGGTGTTAATTTTTCTTATGGAGCAATCACTTTGTTTACCTCTGGTTGCCGTTTATGTATCATGCTTCCTGAATCATAAGATGTATGGATTGTCTAACTTTAGAAGTCAATATGTTAATTTGGATGAGTTTTTGACACCAGGTCATTTCTATTTTTACATAATTACCAGATTGACTACAATTTGTATGGAATGGGCCTTTTACATGTTGCAAAAGTGAGGTTTCGCTATCCTGTTCCAGATGTTTTCTCCCGATGGAAAGATAAGCACCAGGCCAAACTGAGGCGATCCCAAGATGACTCAACTCAAATGGACTTTCAGGTTTCTGTGGTGTTTTTTTTTCCCCCCAATGAGAAGACTTATTTAGGATATGTTAATATTGTGCTATCTGTGTATCTTACTTAGGATGATTTAGGTGGCGACTTATGTCCAAAAACACCAATATGGATATCATCTACTATTCCGCAAGGGTGGATCGGGCAATTTTCACCTGGACCTGGTTCTTCCATAAATGAAGATATTACACTCCCCAGACGTCAGAGTACCTGTGGGTTGGAGGCAGATGCTGTAGTACAAGGTTTGTTGTTGAGGTCTGAAAGTTAATCTTTTCTCTATTTTTTTTAATAGCTAACTTCATGTCATACATTGATTTCAGATGTCATAAATCAGCAGCTTATATCGTATGCATCTCTCTCACAAACGGATTCCAAAGTGAAAATGGTTCAGTCACTAATCCCGATTTGGGAGGTTTGATTTCCCTTTACGTGTTCTCCAATGCACACATATTCAATTGAATGATTCATTGATGTTTTGTTTCTTTCTTATATTAGGAAGAACACGAGAGGAATGGAGTGCCTGAGGCCACACCTTCAGTTTCCCATGGGAAACCACTTCCCCAGGATGTATTAAGAAATCTTTCAGACGGGATTGAGTTTGAAAATCTTGTGGAATTGAGACCTGAAGCAGAAAACAGGCCACTTTTGACTCCAGAATCACTTGAATCTTCTAAAGTTTGTGGAGGTTTGGCTGGCTCTGAAATTGCTGATGTTGCAAATAACAATGATCTGCCTTCAAAATATTTAAAGGCAAGTGGCAGGGTCGAATCATTATTACTATTAGATTCACCATTTCGGGATGCTGATGCAGCCGGAACTGATGTCATAGATGCGGGTGATGAACTGCAATTATCTGGAACTGAAGGACCATCAACTGCAAAGGTAATTTTAAGTTTTTTTTTTTAGCTTAATTTGGACGTGCG